AACTATATATGAAGAAAGATACTCCGTGACCAGAATCAGTTCGTTTAATACATATTGTGAGCCGCATAACCATACTGATCTGACCAGTGACCTCCTTGACGTTCTTCAGGCATCGTTTCGATGTCCAAAATTTGTTACCCCAGGCGTGTTCGCCTAACTGTAGCTAGCAGTTTAGGTGTGGGATTGTCAGTCCTGAAGAGATCTATCCAAAAATTTCACGCTCTCCTTCCAGGAGACTCTCGTTATACTACCGGAGAGGATTTATTGGTATCCCGAAGGATATAACGAAGCTAAGTCTCACAAGCTAGTATTAATTAATGTACGGAATGATTATTTGTTATTGAGTTTTTGAATTTGTTTAGAACATAGTAGAGTATAAATAATTAAATACAAATAATCATTTAGTAAGATACTCTAAGTTTAAACATGGATAAACTAAATCAGACATAGTTTATTTATAGACTTTACATGAAATCGGTTTCATAAGACCAGCAGTTAAGATCCTAAATTATTCCCATAATAATTTGCATAGTTTGATAAGTTTTCGAAAGGTTTGATAAATTCCCATGGTGTTTAGAAAACTACGTAATTATATTCAGAAAAACATCCCTTATGCTCTGCATATTACAAGAGGGATAAAGTATCGAAAGTTTGTTTGAGAATCGTATAATTACATTAGTTTTTAAGTCATGAAAACTTTTATGATTTGCTTGTATTCCCCCCTGAAAACATGAAAAACACAGAAAAGGCATAAGGGTATGAACTCACCTGAGGAGAAGGTGCCGGTTAGGATGCTAGAAGACAACTTAGGACTTGAACACATGCAAGGGTCATAAGAAACATGAGGTGATACGCATTTGTATCTAATTAGTCATTATACTACTAATTAAACAAGTAGACACACTCAATGCAAGAAATCACTTGATTCCAAGTGTTAGAAACGATACGGGTTGCATTTAAGGAGTGTGTGACCTAGTTAGGAGGGTTTACTCTTCAAGTGTAAACCCTTAGGGGTGTTTACGGTCCAAAGACCATGTCCCCCATAAGTTTACAGCCGTAAACTCATGGGTGTGATGTTCTTGGTTGATCAAAGGTCTTATCTTGCACAAGGAAAGGTTCTAGGATTGATTCAATGGACATAAAATGACCTAGGAATTTGGGATTACGGTTCTTGAACCACCCTTGGGGAGTTTACGGTTGTAAACACATGGGTTACGGCCGTAAAACCATCTTTGTCCATGTTTTTCCATTTTCCAATTGTTTTGGTGGTTGTAGGCTTTGCATGCAAGGTTCTAGACTCAAAGGTAAGCCATGAAAGGTGTTTAGGGCACTTAAACACCCTTTGGAGGTGTTTACGATTTTAGGAGACGTTCCTAAACTGTAAACTCATGTTTACACTTCTTTAGACATGTTTTAGGGTTCTAAGATCATTCAAGCAAGTTTCAAGGCCATTAGACATGCATTGGATGGGTTAAGGGGCATCAAAACCCCATTAAAGGGTGTTTACGGTTCTTCAACATTCAAGAACCGTAAAATCATGTTCATAGCCAAAAATTCAAGATCTTGAGGTTCAAACTCCATGCATGTAAGTATCTAAGCCATATCTAAGCATTAGAAGAGGTTTGGAAGGGTTTTGGGGCTTCAAAACCCCCTTTGAGGGAGTTTACGGTTTTGGGGAGGCTCCCCAATCTGTAAACATGAGATTCTTGAGGTTTTTGGAGAGTTTAGACCATAGATTTCATGCATGTTAAGTTAGATAACAAGTTTGGAAGGATTACCTTTTGATTTTTGAAGCTTGAAAGAGGAGTTCTTGAGAGAATTTCGATTTTAGAGAGAGAGTAGAGAGAGAAAGTTGAAGTGGTAAAAGGGCTCACAAATGACCACTCAACCTTTAAATAGGTCTTGAGTTAGTGGCCCGGTGGGGATACACCCAATACCGACATTAAACGGAGTTAAATATTTCACCCTGGTAAATAACCATTACCCGACTTAGTGGTAATTTAGAAATTTTCAAAAAGATTATCGTGGATGTTTCACTTGATATTATTTCATTTCGGCAATTAAGAAATCTTGATAATAATTCAAATGAATTATTTAACTTAAAAGCTAATGGAAAAACCCAAAATAATATAAATTTTGTTAACGAAATGGGTTACGGTAACGGAATAACTTCCGGGTTGTCACACCACATGTATCCCTTCTTGACTGACAACATGAACCAAAAATTTTACGCTACGGAGCAAAAACGCACACATAGAGAGTTTTGAGTATAACTTTTCGGTCCGTAGGGTTTCCAAGATTTTCCGAAGATGTCGGCCAAGCTCCTCTTCACTTCGAGAATAGACTAGGATATCGTCAATGAAAACGATGACAAAGTTGTCGAGGAAGGGTCGACAGACCCGATTCATCAGGTCCATGAATGCGGCAGGGGCATTCGTTAGACCAAAGGGCATTACAACGAATTCATAATGTCCATAGCGGGTTTGGAAAGCGGTTTTGGGAATATCCTCTTCTTGGACCTTGAGTTGGTGGTAGCCGGACCGCAGATCTATCTTAGAGAAGTAATTTTCTCTCTGGAGCTGGTCGAACAGATCGTCGATTCGTGGAAGTGGGTAGCGATTTTTGATAGTGAGATTATTCAGCTCTTTATAATCGATACACATCTTAAAGGATCTGTCCTTCTTCTTAACAAAAAGGATCGGAGCTCCCTAGGGTGAGAAGCTAGGTCGGATGAATCCCTTACTCAAGAGCTCCCTGCATTGGCTTGACAGTTCTTGCATCTCTGTAGGATCCAACCTATAGGGTGATTTGGCAATGGGCGTAGCTCCCAGTACTAGGTCAATTCGGAACTTGAATTGTCTTTCTGGTGGGGTATCCCCAGAAGATCTTCGAGAAAGACGTCCGGGAAGTCGCAAGCCACTGGGATGTCTCAAATATTGACCTCTTCCTTGGACGTATCCACTATGTGTGCCAGAAGCACCAAGTCCTTTTGTAGATACTTTTGTGCCTTAATGCACGAGATAAGACGAAGGTTCGTACTGGGTTTGTCTCCGTATATAATTAGGGTTTCATGATTAAGGAGATGAAGGCGAACACCCTTCCCATGATACATAATTTCGGCATGATGGGGGCTCAACCAGTCCATGCCGATAATCACATCAAAACTCCTAATAGTTATAGGCATTAAGTTTATTTGAAAGGTATGCTGATTTAAGGTTAGGGTATATCCTACATAGATTTCCCTGGCTGATTCTGTTTTTCCATTAACCATTTCCACCATAAAGGTTTCATTAAGCTTTAAGGGTTGTTGTTTTAGCAAGTGTTTGAATTTGTTACTCACAAAACTTCGCTCTGCCCCCGGTATCAAACAGGATGTATTCATATGAGTGGTTAAGGAAAAACGTACCGGTGATGACAGCGGGATCCTGAGCCGCTTCTCCTTGTACTATAGTTAGCACTCTTCCTGCTGCTCCTGTCATCTGGGTGTTTGCACTGGGACAATTCCGTCTGAAATGTCCAGTCTTCCCGCACCCATAATAGGTATAACTAGCTCCATCCTTTGTGTTTTTGTTGTTGGGCATCTGGTTTTGTGGAAACTGGGTCCTATAATATTTTTTTTGTATGGCCCTTCCGATTGCATCTTGTGCACATCATCTCTCTGCATTCCCCGAGGTGATGGTATTTACATTTTTTACACTTGGGAAGATTCCATGTGTACTGTTTCAGAGTATTCAGAGTGGATGAGGCTGGAGCATGTGGTGTTGTGGTAGCCTGGGTTGCTGCATGGACAGTCACTGTCTGTTGCTTCTTGGATGATTCTAAGTTCTATTTACCTCTTCTCTTGTTGTTCTTCCCTTTCTTACTCTCTTCTTCCTTCTTAACATCCGCATCCACAATCTTAACACTCTTCTTGCTGCCATGATCATACAGTTTCTTGGCCAATCTTTTGGCACTATCAAACGTCTCAATGTTTGCTGCAATGACATTCCCTTGGATAGGTGCAGTCAATCCCCAAATGGACCTCTCAATCTTTTTCCCTTCCGAGGTGATCATGCCCGGACACAGAAGGGATAGCTCGCTAAACCTGGATATGTATGGGTCGATATTAGAGTTTTGAACTATAAATTTCCATAATTCTTGTTCCATATTTTGTATCTCGCCTATAGGGCAGTATTATGCCAACATCATTTCCTTCAGTTCTTCCCATGGCATCGTGTTTACCACTGGAAGGGTCATGGCTTCGATGTGACCGTTCCACCAGGAAAGAGCTTGATCAACAAAGGTACATGCTGCAAACTTGACCTTGCACCCATCTGGACACCCGCAAATTTCAAAGACGGATTCAATTTTCTCAATCCACCTCTTTAGGTCTATGACACCTCCAGTTTCGTTAAAGGCTTGTGGCTTGGCGTTGGTAAAGTCTCTATAAGAGCAGATCTTGGTAGGTCCTTGATTTATTCCGTTGTTTGAACTTCCAGCTCCCTGCCTATTTCCTGTGCCATTGTTCCTTTGGTGGATTTACGCCATGGATGTTGTGAGTGCAGTAGATACAGCTACTTGAAACGCAACTGAGTTGACTTCCAGTGGTGTCGGTGGTTGGTTATTTCCACGGTTTTCTCTCTGAGGCATCTTGTTGTTACGGAACAGAAAGATGTTGAGTATGTATTGTTTTTAAGTTGGGAATTTCGTGACTCGATTTGCGCATCTGAGTGTTTCCATAATTTACACATTACAGATAACAACATCACAACTAAACACATAATATTTTCCACTAATATTATCCGCACTTTGATACATGAAAATTTGCTCGAAAGAGCATACATAAAGTTCGGTAGCATAATGACTCTATGAGTAGTGTAATCACTTAAACATGGAGTTGGTAGTACATAACATGGATCATATAACATAATATTGACGAAATATACGGCTTGTTCCTCTTAAGGTGAGGCTTGTATAGCAAGTAGTAGAGCAAGTCCTAACAATAGAGATGACGATGACACTCAATCGTCGAGTTGACGTATCAGGAGTTCAGCCAGTTCATCCGCCTCTTGGGTGATTACCTCTACCCTTTTCTCAGCTCGTACATCCCTTGCTTCGGCCGTGAAAAGTTGAAGCTTGAGGCTGATAACTGCTTCCTCGAGAGAGCGTAGATAGTCTGTATCACCCTTCTGAACCGTGCGGGGATCTGATGGGGCTTTCGACAGGTGGGGATCACTACGTGCCTCCTCTACGTCCTTCTCTTCATCTAATTCCTGGTCAGATTCGTCATATTCGTAATCCGTTACCACATATTCTTCCCGTTCCACTTCGGGTCCTACATCGTGTGCTGCCCCTTGTTCTTCCCCGGGGTCGTCCTTAATCATTCCGTGGGCCACTAAGACCTGGTGAAACTGAATGCCTTGATGTTCCTCTTCTATGGTAACTGTGAGGGGGAACACGTAAGGAGGTATATAAAGAAACTATTATTACTCCTAAGATTTGTTATTTATATATAAAAAGTTGGGTTGATGCGCTCTCCTTGTTCAACAATAGGGTATGCCTTAGTTTTATTGACCATCGCGATTGTTCCAGGGCATGTGATAGTTGTACTACGAATATATGTAGTTGATCAGGCTACTTTCTTTCCTAATACAACTGTGAACAGTCCTGGCTTAACCGAGATGTCAGGTTCTCCCAATCGTCTTATTCGGTTTGTTATTATGTTCATTTTTCTAAGTCGCACAAATAAGAGTGTTTATTAGCACATTTTATTTGTTTTGTTCATAGTTATTTAGTCCCTTGTTGGGTTTATAGTTGCATATCAATGTGTGGTTAGATATGTCAGTTCACTATAAACAGAGCTCTGATACCAACCTGTCACACCCCCGAACCAGACGGCGGAAACGTTCGAGGCTCGCATGACTTCAATTGAAATATCATCACAATGAATATACATGAAACACAACACATTCATCACCAAACATTACACAGTACAACTGGCATTGTTTACATCAAGTAAAAGATTTACATTACATGATTCCAAAATATAAAGTGTTTGGTGATTAGCAACTACAAAAGAAACTTTCAACACACTGGATGCTTCCTTGTCTAATGATTACCTGAGAATACAAGTTATTTTGAAAACGGTCAACATATATAATGTTGATGAGTTCATAAGTGTGTTTGATGTAAAATAGTTTATGTCGTTCGTAAAACCCAGAAAATCCGATATTTTATGTATTAAGACTTTTCTTGAAAATGTTGTGATGATCCTGTAAGTATATGCGTGAATGATTTCAAAACATGAATAAATGAGAAGTTTTGCATTATAGTTTTTGAAAGTACAAATGAGCAAGATTGGTTTCCCCGGAAAACCCGATGTTTTCCGATAAAAAGTTATGATGGTTTTACATTATTGTATCGTCACATCGAATGAATATGATTTCCCTTGATTACTTAAATGATATCGGATTTCTACGTGATTCGTTATAACCATGCATGATAATGACTAGTTCGTCTGTCTTGGCATCCTAGTGAACCCGAAATTTTATCTTAAGGTTTTGTCACCCTAGATTGGCCGAGTCTAACTGTAGCGAACAGCTTAGGTGTGGGGGAGTCACCCCCGTATAGATCTATACACAAACTCTCGCTCTCCCTCCAGGAGACTTTGATTACAACTACAGACTACGACCGACACTTATTGGTGTCACTCGTTATTACCCACTTAATCCACATGAATTTGATTAACCTTGATTAATGACTTGATTTTAGTTTACTTGAAGAGAAGGTAAGCCTAACAGATGAGGAGAAGAGGACTACTAGGCCCTACTAATTTCGTATGTTATTTAAGGCTGACGAGTATACGAAAGGCGCTTTGGCCCATTTCGCATAAGGTTTATTTGGAACTTACTAGTAATGCAAATGGGCCACTGAGGCCCAATAGCATGTAAAAACCGTTGAGGGTCCCTTAAGCATGTAACATGTATTATTTATGTTGGGCCCAAAAGTCATGTTAATGAGTCACGAAGGCCCATTAAGCATGATTAGAATCTCACAAGCCCAGCCATTTGAATGTTTACTTGTTTTGTATAGTATTAATGTTACGAGTTGTTTAATCGATATGTCGTAAAATCACGAATTTGTTTTATAACGATTCATAGATTTATAAAAATAGTTATTTTTATATTTAAAACCCATAAGTTATAAAGTTTTGTATATTTTGACCCAATTATTATTATTATTAACATAATTGACCAAAAACATTAGTTTGACCTATTCAGCCCCCTTATGTTGTAAAGTTGGCAATTGTAGTCCTTTTAAAAAAAATGACATATTAGGTCCTTGAACTATTTTTCTTGACATTTTTTACCTAAACACTTATTTAAATAATGTTTTAACCCCAAAAGTAAATTTTCGGAAAGTTTCAACCCTTTCGTTAAAAGACTTGTATTTTAATCCACATTTTTAGCAATTTTTACACCTTTTACCCAAAATCCAAAATCTTTGCATTTTCAATCCTTTTTAGCAAATAAGGACATTTTAACCCTATAAATAGATTCATTTATTTTTCTATCCACTGTTTTGAGAAATTTACCATTTCAACCCCTTAAAACCATATTTTTCGCAACTTTGGGCCTATGGGTCGAAAAGCCCAAAATTTTAGCCCAATAAGCTACAAATTTCATTTTTAGTCCTTTGAAAAAGATAATGTTCATAAAAACTTCCATTTTAACTCTTTTGACATTTTGAGCCTTGTAAAAACCATAAATGACAACTTTTTCCAAAACTTTTGTTTATTTGACAAAAATAGTCCAATAATGAGTTTTATGTTGTAGTGTCTTATTTTAAAGCTTGTATAGTAGTTTATCTTGACATGTTAAGTGAAATATGACCTACATCACATATTTTTCCTTCTTAAACTATGGATCTCGAAATATCTTTCATTTTTTAGCACATATTTACCACAAAACACAAGAAATCACACATAACATACAAATACACATTGATCTTCACATTTTACTTATATTCTCCCCCATAAATCATATGAAAACCGAAAATAGAGGGGTATGAACTCACCTTTTCTTTTTGTTTTCGATTTGAAGAAAGAAATGGAAGAGTTTGATGTTATCTTCAACCCTAGAAAGCTTCTTGAGTGGATCTCGAACTTAGTATGTTTCTAGGAGTATGATCAAAAATTTAAGGTGGTAAGAAGAGTGAATGAGTGTAAAAAGGAAATATGTTTGCAAGATCTTACCACTAGAGTGTAGCTTGAAGTGATTTTTGGATGAAATCTCCTTGAAATGCTTCTAATTCTCGAAAGTCTTGATGAGAAGGAAGGGATGTTCTTGATTGTTTTACTTAGAGAGAGTATGAAATGTTTTGTATGTGTGTGTGTTGATTCTCAGCTGTAAGTATTAAGAAGAAGAAGAAGAAGAGAGAGAGTGAGGTGGCCCTTATAGATGCATGTTGGTCCATGCATGGAAGTATGAAGTGTAATACGGAGGTGGAACTACAAATGTCAACCTTTATTTCCCCTCTTTTGTTTTTGTTTTCTACTTGGGCCGAGAGAGAGGGAAGGAAGAGAATGACTTGGGCCTTTTATGCTTGAGTCCATAATATAAGGCCCATTTTGATGGTTTTCGGCCCATGGGGTCTTTAGAGTAGGTCACAGTCCAATTTTTGTATAAGAGGATGGATTTGAGTCCATTAAAGCTAATTGAATTTGTTATGGCCCAATAAGGCCCATTAGAGATAAACTACTCCACTTTAGGCTTATAAGGCCCAAAAAGTTAAGTTTCATGAAAGTGGGTTGAATTAGAGCCCAATTACGAGTTCTAAGCCCAAAATAGTCACATTGGAAGTTTATTGGCCCATTAGGCCCAATAAAGAAATCCTAATCCATAATGGGCTTAAACCGGGATTTCTAGGGTTTTCAACTTTACCTGATGAATCTAGGTTTGAATGTGCTTCCATAGGTTGAATTTTAAGCATAACATGAATTAGGGTTTACGAGTTTACAGTAGATAATGTTTACAAGAGTATAGAATTTCCTAGCTAGAATGCTAGTTGTGACAACTATGAACTCCCTACTAAATGTCTGAGATACGAACGGCCGAATCTCCCCTAAGTCAAATAAAACCAATGCAGTCAAGGAGTTTACTAAAAACGTAACTAATCACAGGTACAATAGATGAGCATAAAACAGACATAATGAATGAAACATAAGATAGGAACATACCAGCAACCACGTCTGGTGCTGCCCTGACCTCCTCGATTGTATGCTGGAAGGCGCGCCCCTGAGCCTTTGGGGGCTCTGCTCTACCCTATCTCCCATCGATAATTCTCAGTGTATTCAACGCTGGAGACTACGCCGACTTGGCGGCTAGTAGATGACATTGGGCCTTCATATGGCCCACGTGCTCTCAATGATAGAAAAGTCTGGCTCCGGGAGCCGGAGTCTGCTGCCTGCAATCCCTGGCCAGATGGCCCTTCTTGCCACATCGGTGGCACCCACTCCTTGATCGGCACGTCCCTGAATGCGCCTTTCTGCATTTCCCACAAGTGCGGCCTGACTGTCCCCTGATCCTGGTATCAGCGGTCTTAGACTGCTTCGGCACCGGCTTTGTCTGTATTAGGGCATGTTGCTGCTCCCTCAACTGCAGCTCAATCTCCAACTCACGCCACTTAGCAGATTCCTATAATTCTAACAGTGTATCACATCGCTGAGTGCAACAAACAGATGGATGTCAGTCTTGAGCATTCTCAAATATCGTGTCATCAAAGCCTGCTTCGAGGCAAACTCCGGGAAAAACATCGCCCTATCAGTAAACATGCGGGTGATCTCCGCCACCGACTCCGTACCCTGTCTCAGATCCAAGAACTCCTGTGACAACCACTCGCGCTCGACGTGTGGAATGTAGCAACCACGAAACATATCCCTGAACTGCTCACAAGTAACAGCAGCTCTCTGCTCGTCCGTATATGACCCAATAGCAAATCTCCACCAATCCTTTGCCCCAGTCCACAACAAGTTCAGGGCACACCTGACCTTCTGGTCAGTAGGACATGAGCACATGAAGAAGCATCCCTCCACGTCTGATAGCCACTTCATGGCTATGATAGGATCTTGAGTACCATCAAAAGTCGGGGACTTCGTGTTATCGAAGTCCCGGTACTGGAAGACTCGGCCAACTCCTCCTCTTGTCGCTTCTATAGTTGTTGAAGCGGTTACGGCAGCCATCTCAGCAACGGCTACATATCTATCATCAAAGTACTCCATCATATCCGACTTGATAGTCCCAAACACCTACGGAATCTGACTCTGGATAATCTCGACCACCTCCTCGCAGATGATCTCCCTGGCACGATCCTATGTTAACACTGG